TTTTTTTTTTTTTTTTTTTTAAAGGAAGGAATGCACACAGCATGCTCTTCAGGTTAAGGAAGTAGAGCTAGCAGGCATTTCTGGCAGGAACAGCCTTAGTGCCACTACACTTCAGTTTTGTGGGTATATTTTATACATTTGTCTACCTCAGAAATATCAAGAAGTATAAGAAAGTTATTAAGATAGTTATTTCAGTCCAAGGACAAAAGGATAGTTAACTAATTAAGTAAACTAATCATCTTAGGTAAGAGAACAATTCAAGTCAGAAGTTACTTGTTACATTTCCTTGCAACTATACTCTTATTAGAGATACTATACACTGTAACATTTACCTCACCTCAAGAGCCAGCACAACTTTTGTCAAGAGTTATAGCAGGGACAGGGCAGAAGTGGGTCTGGCCTCTAGTTACACTTGATCCTAATCAAATGGTTTGAATTAAAATAGAACCAAGTTCACTCACACACTTAAAAGCTTACTAGCTTAAGAGCTGTGTTGTATTTTCTTAACAATTAGAGCAACAAGGTGAAAGTCATTTTGAGCAAATCATTCCCCTCAAATAGAAACTCATTCCTGTAAGGATTACCAGAGGAGAAGGATTTTCCTCAAGGCCCTTCATTAGATACCACACCTGTTTCCTGCAGCAGAACCACACAGAGAAAGCACAATCTACCAAAATCACAGGGTTAACAAAACTTGACAGTTGCACTGCAAAGCTAAAAACAAAGTACAACAGAACCTCTAAAGCCTCTTGCTAAGTACACACAAATAAATAAACAAAAGGAACTTACATAAATCAAACCTTCTATCACTATCAAACAGCAGCCATCTCCTCCACAACTATCAGTTTACTCCAGAACCCTCAAGAAACAACACTCATTCTGCTACTGCCCCTTTTATCTCCAAACCATTTCCAGTGCAGCTTTGCTTCCTCTAGCTATTTGTCAATCAGTGGAAGATAACAAGTTCAGCCATACAAATCAAGGTGTCTAATTAAACCCAGGTCTGCTGAAAGAGCCAAACTAATGGATTTAATGCAACTCATTGTGCTGGGAATCCTCTGGCAACTTTTAAAACTTGTTATGCCTATGCCCCAACTCAGTAAAGCACTGAATCCCTAGAGCCCCTGCTATAGCCACAGGGATCTGTTCTGGTTTTCCTGGCTGGTTTTGAGATGCAGCCTCACATACTGTGTGTTGCAACAGTTTAATGGCACAAAGACCTGGACACCTATGGCAAGATGTATGTTGAAAGAAATGTCCTTATTTTAGTGTTGCAGAAAGAATACTGCCGTTGGTATCCAGTTCCAGCTGTGTTAGAGGCAGGGCATGCATTAGGTGAAAGAAAAATGGAACTTTTCCCCTAGCATCACTGTTGTTGCTATCAGGAAGGGAGCCATGAGTGACAATCATCCCTGACTGTTATGTTTGTTTCTGAGCTGAGACAATGCACAGTGCATCGCACTTTTGCTGCCAAAAAGGTATTATTTGGTCATGGTGTTCTGCCTCTCTTCCCCAGGCCTGCCTTTTCCTCGGCAACTGAGAGATACA